TAAAATTTTAGACATGGCCCCAAATCAACATTTATAACCTTTTGAATATAAATATTAATAGTAAAAAGAAATGTAAAATATTGTAAGATAAATACTGTTATAATGGACCCTTCCAAAAATCTCCCCCAAATTCCCTAACTAATAAGAGTAGTTTCAGCAAAAGCTCAACCTCCTCAATTTTATTTCTCTTCGTTTGTTTGGGGAAGAATCATGTAGCCCAAGCTAGCCAGTCTCAAACTCTATGTAGCCAAAGATGACCTTAACCTCCGATCCTTCTCTCCTGCTGGGATCACAGGCTTGTATCACAACTTGGCTTTGCTGTGCTAAGACTGAACATAGAGTTTCAGGCTAGGCAAGCATTCTACCAAGCGAGCTACTTCCCCAACCCTTCTGCGGTTTTACATCGTAAACTCCATGAAGACTAGAAGCTTCTTTTGCTTCATTTTGCCTCCACTTAGGCTCCTGGTTCAGGATTAGGAACATCTGGAATGCTGCTGAACTCCACCTCCCTGGAGCAGACCCAGATGGTGCTCAGGTAACTTCAAAGGGCCCATACAATTTGAAATAAATTCAGAGATGCAACTGCGCATGCTTGGAGACTAACCAGGAAGGCTTTCAGTTTGTAGGAGAGATTTCAAACTTCCAGAATATGGAATCGTCACACAAGCTAAGGTCATGATGACCCCTGTGAATATTTATCAAACACGCATTTTTATCTCCTTGAAAATAAAGTCACAGATGCAAAAGACACATTAACCCCTTTTCTTGTACAAAATACAAATTAATCTTTTTCATGGTTATGGTGTCCACGAGTGGTCCTCTGCGTTTTGGTATGGCCAATACTTTCAAAGGATGATAACAGTGATTAGGATAGGACGATCGTGTTTCCTTTTCAGTCTTTGAAACATAAAATTAAACAAGTAAAACTCAGAGCAGTGGGTGAATAAACTTGATACCATAAGACCTCCTGGAATAAAGTCCTAGCTCTATGATGGAGTGTGTCCAACTATCTCCTCAGCCCTTGTGGTTTCTAGACGCATCTTGATATAGTTAACTGTCTACATATGCTTTGCATTATTCAAAATTGACAACCTGGAAAAGCTGACAACACACAGGAAGGGATAGGCACTGGTTCATCACATCTTTTCATTTTCTCTTCTGAGCCTCTGGTCTCAGAGGACTCTCCGCTAATATAAACACTCAAAGCAGAAGAAAACACTGGCCTCTATCTTCTGAATAAATAAACCAAAAATCAAATACAGATGTAAATAAACCATGCACTTTCATGCTTGGAGACATCCATTTTCTTGCACGATTAACTCAAAATAGGTGAAGTTTAAACTCAATCTGCCAGCTTGGAAGTTTCTGAGGGGTTTAAGGGTGGCTTTCACTTGTTTGGGGTGGGTTGTTGACCTATTTGTCTATTTGGGTACATTCGGTTCCTAAATCAACATAACAAGTTTTCCCATTACCACCTGTTTGGGTTTTTCTTTTGGTTTTCCTTTTTGTTTTTATGAAGTAAAAAAAAAAAAGTGGGACTCCCCTTTCCCTACTGTTAGGACTTCACTGATCACCAGCATCTCCTAGAGAGGCCAACAATGGAATACAAAAATATCAGTTGCTGGTATTTGTGTAGACAGTGGACTCTTCAGCATCCTAACGGATGAATAAACTCTTCAGGATGCCACTGAATCTGTGACAAGGGACACATACAGCCCAGAATGGTCATATAACAAAACAATTTGTAAAGACAAAAACTTAAGACATATATTGTCAATGTTTTCCTAACCCAAAATGCCCAGTTAAGTGATTTTTTTAGTTTCTGAATTTGCTTAGCTAAAAATCAGTTTAGTTATATATTTAAAGCAACAAAAATATAGTTCTGTATGTACATGATAGATGTACCCACCTTACCCTGTTAGCACAAGTTTTTGTCCCATCAGTTGCTCCCAAATAAACACACTGAGGCTTATTATAAATACTCAGCTGATAGCTCAGGCTTATTACTAACTAGCTCTTACAACTTTCTGTTCATCTATGTATTACCATGTGACTCGTGGCTTTATCTGTTCTCCAGCATGTCTTGCCCCCTCTGTGTCTCCTGGCGACTTCACACTCTGCCCTTCATCATCCTAGCATTCTCAGTTTGTCTGTCCTGCCTGGCTACCAGTCATTTGGTTCTTTATTAAGCAATGAGAGTAATATATATTCACAGTGTACAGAAGGGTTATTCCGCAGCACTACCCTGGAAAGAACAAGCCACTAGCAAGCTAGATAACTTGAATGCCAAAGTCATAGGAAAGTCATAAATCTTTAAATAAAATTTCTGTCAGCAACATGGGCCCAAATGGAGTTCATGGTCAAGGTTCTTCCCTGGTTATTTGGGGGGGGGGATAATAAAAGCAAGCACACCAACCAGGCTCTTTAAGGAATTCTGTTGAGTGCTACCTCCTCAAACTCTTGTCAGTTATTTCCCTGGTCCTGACCCAGTCACTTTATGCCGGCTCCTTACTCAGCAGCACCTGCTGCTCATGGGATGACTTTCAGATAATGGGAGTGAAGGACATACATAACACGCATGTAAAGAAATTGCAGGTGATTTCGATGTTATATTTTTGTTATCAATAATGCTTTTCTCTAGACTCAAGGATGTTGCCTGTGGTGCCCAGCCCACCTCCTTATTTTGGTAACTACACCCCCACACCATTCATCTGAGGAATCCATAGTTCCATGAGGTTTGGGACTCTCCCTTGCCATGCTCACCATGCTATATGCAATGGGGGTCTTTGACTTATAGTGAGCCAGGTGGAGTCTTATCTAGAATCCTAGATTGTCACTGAGGTAAAGCCTTTCTCGTGTGAGCCAAAAGTTCTCAGAATGTCATCCCAAAGCTGTCTAGAGTCCTCATACCCACACGACGTGCCTATAAAGCAGTCAGAGAGAATCTGAAGCCAACTAGTGGATTGTTTGTTAACACAAAGTCAAATATACCTGATCCTTATCCAGTACAGTAGCCAATACTGCCACATTTATTCTAGGTGTTTAGAAACTTGTCATTGGTAACCTCCCAGCCAAACATATTATTCTCTCATCCTTTCACTCACTCACTCATTCTTCTACACATTTCTTCAGCAGTTCACTAGATGTCGGCTGTGGGCTGTGTTTTGGTGGAAACTCATAGAGCTTCTCTATATTATATGAAACTGAAAAGTGGGTCAGATTTAAAAAGAGAATGTAATTCTGATCCTGCGTGAGTTTTTTTGTTTCATATTTTAGAGATGGGTTAAAGTTTTCTCAGACAAGACTTTGTACTTCAAGATCATATAGAGATTTGAGTACTGACAGACATACCTATCCCAGAACACATCTTTTAAAATTCTGAGTCTCAGGCAAGCATGGTATCTCATGTTTAAAATTCCAACCCTGAGGGAAATAGAGTTCAACGTCATTCTTGGCTTCACAGCCATTTCAAGGCAAGTTGGAGCTGCACACAAGACCCCATCTCAAAAAATAATAAGAGTTCCGGAGTAATTTGCATTGTTTTTTAGGATATAGAAAAATACAGAAATGCACAAATAAAATTAAAAACACATATGAGTCAGTGACAAGGAAGTAACACTGTTAAAGTACTAGGAAATCCACCCTGAGGATGACTTCATTTTGTAGGCCAGTATGCAGTATGCAGTATGTAGAAATTATCCCTGCTGATCAGTCTATTCCTTTCCCTCTCTTCTATCACAAGTAAACTAGAAGCCAGAGTGGGATGCAACAAAGATGCTTCCACTGGAAATCAGCAGTACTTCGCCATGCCTTCTCATTAGGCACGCAAGTTCTGCCTAACTGACAACTGTCATCGGTCAATTGGTTATGTTCAGCAGGAGATAATTGGAGAAGCTGCCTCAGCTGCTGCCTGAGCCATGGAAGATGACACATGTGAAATTGCCCATCCCAGCGGAGCACAGAGGAGGTACCAGAAACCTGCATCTGTGAAGCTGTGATGCTCAGAAAGAGCTCCATCCTCTTGCCCCCATGTGCAAAGGAAGTCAGCCATCTCTTAATGTGCTCATGAGTCAGTCTCTCAGAGACTGACCTGTTGTTGCTCTCATAGACTTTAAAGACACCTATTCCTGTTTGGACCAATTCAGAATTGACAACGGCAGCATAGTTTGCCAGTTCAGGACTGAGTTAGTCAGTTAATCAGCAGGCAGCTTCTCTCTACACCCAGCATCCTCGTTCTCCTATGGTCCCATCCCTGTGAGAGAGCCAGCCCTGACTGCAAATGGTTAAACAGGCACACAAGAAGATCCCAGCCTTAGGTTCCTGAAGCCACTGCTGAGTTAACTCTGTTTGGTAAACACTGAAAGAGTTAATACACAAAAGCTTTACTAACAGAACCTGGTCCAGGAAAAGTGCTTAATCAGTGTTAGCTGTTCTCATGATTGTCTTCTCTCCAGAACTGTGAGCAGGGACAGTAAATGATCACGTGTATCTGTTACACAACAACAACAAACACTTTTTGAATAAAGCATATGTTGCTCAAGTTGTCTTAACTCAATCCTGGTGCCTTGTAGCCCCGGTAGCTAAGGCTGCAGGTGTATCCCACGGTGACTGGCTTGAGTGATTTCAAACAAAGAACAACATACAATAACCAAAACCATAGAGTATCCCTCTGCAGGTCTTATAGTCTTATTTACAATGTTTGTGTCTGTAAAGCAATTATGGGTTTGTTTCTCTCTGAATGATTCCCAATTCTGAAGTGATGACATCCTGATTTCCAGCTTTGAACATGTATCACAATCCTTATCTTTCATGGTGATGGGGAACCCCTTGTGGTTAAATCCCTGGTGATGTGTGAGGATGTGGCACCTTGCTTTAGGGTATACTGCTTCCTCTTGTGCATGTTCTGAAGAAAACATGAAGAGCAACTGTAAAGACACTGGACAAGGGAGGCAGAGCTGGGAAGGCTTTTGGCAGACTTACAAGAAAAAAAGGGCAACAGGTAAGACTCACATTATTTGTTATTATTCAGTGAGCAAGTGAGATAGCTCAGTGAGTAAAGGTGCTTGATTACCCGAGATCAATTCTAGGAACACAAAATGGTGGAAGGTAAGGACCAGCTCCATGAAGTTGTTGTCAGACCACCACACATCACACATAAACCATGACATTTGTGTTCCCCCACATGTATCATGCATGTGTGATAATAATACATTTATAAATAAAAATAACCAGTCAATAGAATCAGGCCAACAGATGGTACAGATGTTGGGATTAATACAAAGAGACTTTGAAACAACTGCAACAATTCAATGAATTGCTTAAAGAATTCACAGGAAAAGGTTAAAAGAATAGGGAAGCAGATGGGGAAATGCTAGGAAACACAGATACAATTTATAGAAGAAGTTAAGAGAAAAAGAATCAGGAAGAAATAGAAATACTAGACCAAAAGTAGGATATTCAAAATAAATTGATAGCTTTGCATTAAAAGAAGATCATTAATCAGAAAAAAATGAATAAAAGAAGATTAGGGAATTTGAAAACACTGAATACAATTCAAACAAACTCAAAGAAAATAGAAAAGATATTTTAAAAGAAACAAAACCTGAATTACCTATGAAATAATATCAAACATACAACATACATTTTTTTCTACTCTGACAAGGATACAAAAGAAGACAGCAAGAAGCCCACTGGTGAAATCTCTGTAACTTCCCAGTCTTTGTACAGATAATCAAAAGTAACGATGCAAAGATCTAAGAAGGTTACTATTCTAGTTTACTTTCTATTGCCGTGATAAACACCATGAGCAGAAGCAACTTGAGGAAGAGAAGGTTTATGTGGCTTATCCTCAGACCACAGTCGATCAGGAAGGGGTTTTAACCCAAGGTTGTCTGGCTCCACTGTTTCTCAACTGTGATGAGGTAGACCATCGTGGCAGAAGGACATGGTTAAGGGAAAGCTGATCCCTGGTTGGTAGACAAAACAAAAACAGAGAAAGAAGAAGAGATTTGAGACAAGATATCCCAAAAGATACCTCCAAGGACCTATACCCTCCATGTAAGTCCTTAAATAAGGTTTCTACCTTAAAGACCTTTAACCATGAACTCATCAATTAATCTATTGGTGATATTTAAGTACAGAGAAAATGACACCTTACACTTTCTGTGTGACTCTCCATTTAAACTAAAAAATAAAGCAACCATACAATATGCACAATTAGAGAGATTTCTCACTGCTCCTCCAGAGGACCCAACTTTATTCCCAGCAACCACACCAGGAATCTCACAGCTGCTTGTAACTTGGGTTCCAGGGGATCTGATGCTCTCTTCTTGACTCAGCAGGCACCCACATTTGCATGCATGCACTCATACACAATATTAAACAAGTCTACAAAAGACAAGAGTAGGGAACCATGGGGTATAAGAGGGAATGATTCAATTATTCAATTTGTCTCTTTGAATAGCATGTAATAAAAGAGTTATAGTAACTATGGCAGGTAATTGGGCATCTTGTGAAGGGACTAGAGTTCCATCCACAGATTTAGGACTTTGTTCTATAGGTTCAATAAGTTATTTCCCACATACTAAAGGTCTGGTATGATCCAACTGTATTCTTGGGGAATATGAACATAGTTTATGGCTAGAGGTAAGAGTGATTACAATCTTGAGTCATAAAAACACACATTTATAAGAAACAGGACTTTATTTTTTGAACTCTATTTTGGTTTGCTTAACCATTTATTAGTTGAATTGTTCTTTCTTTTAGCAGAGTTCTCTGTCTATTTTGAATTCAAGTCAGATGAGTAGCTACAAAACTAGCCAGGGTAATAAGAAGGTCAAAGACAGACAGCCAATTGAGCTACAAATTTTAGAATATATTTTGAGACCTGGCTATAAAGCTGAACAAAATTAGAATGCAAAGTTAGCCCATCATAGGTATGAAAGCTGATGTAGAAAGGATTGTTTAAACACACACACACACACACACACACACACACACACACAGTCAATTCTAGTGGGGAGCTGTCTTAGAGTATAAGACAAAGCTGAGACTGAGAAGGCAAAGGTAAGATCACCACTGGGGAAGAGAATGGTCAGAGCAGGGCCAGGCCTTGCCTGGAAGAAAAGGCTCCTGCAGTAACCCAGGGAGGAAGCCATGATTCGAACCTGAGATACTGAGAAGCTACACTGAACAGTCAGTATCGGAACATGCAAGGTATTCCATGGTGTGAAGGAAAGATATGCCACACTATGGAGATGGCAGGAGTAGAAAATTATGTTATCATACTGTCTGGTCCTCCAGAGTTGCTGGGACATCAATGATGTAGAAGAAAGAAAAGAAAAGTGATGTCAGCAGAACCAGGACAACTAGGACCCCAAATTCAACCTAAGTAATTACTTCCAGGTAGATATTTAAGGAATTTCAAGAAGTGACAGGTGTCATTTTGAGCAGCAAACCTGACTGTTGGGTCTGATCTTTATGTCCCCTTCAAGTTCAAGACTTTCAGACACAGGAATCTTGCCCTTGCTGCTCCAGTATTGGAGTGAATGTGACCTGGGATGACCTGGGATGACCTGGGATGACCTGGGATGACCTGGGATGACTTGGGATGACCTAGGCTTATTTTACATCTTTGTCCTTCTTGCTGATTCTGAGAAGTACCTGCTGTATTTCTTATAATTTCTTCTCATGTTCTCCCAGCACCGTGGTGCTTTTCTCCTTTGTCTCTAGGTCTTGTCTCTAGTCCTGTACATATGTGTCTGTTAGTGTCCATAACCCCAGGTCAGCCTTGCCTACTGCTGTTGTATAGGACTCCCCCCCCCAAAAAAAAACCTTGGCAGTGGTGTGTCACAAAGGTCACAGTGACAAGGTTCTTCCAGGTGGGCATCTGATTGACTTATATTTGATGCTCTGACCAGCTAAAATTCCATGCTACTTACCCTCAGTCGATTTTATTGTGCTGTACTAAGGGGAGCCCGCCACCACAATCTAGCTGAAGTGAGTAAATACAAGGAGAGGGTTTAAGCTTTTGAAAGGTCAAGAATGGATGGGGAGAAAAGAAGAAAACAGCAAGCAAACCAAGAAGTCAGCACTATTTGCCCATAGGCTTCCCACTGAGCCTTTCAGAGAGCAAGCCACTCAGCAAAGAAAGTCATCTTCTGAATAGTACATGACTCTATTGTTTTATTCTCAGGAATGTTCTAGTATAAGGCAAAGAAAAAAAATTTCACTTATCCCTGACTTTATTAAGGTTACTATTGCTGTGATGAAGCTACTTGGGAAGGGAAGGGCTTATTTGGCTTACTTATTCTGAGTCACTGTCCATTGAGGGGAGCCAAGACAGGAACTCAAACTAAACCGGAACCTGGAGGCAGGAACTGGTGCGGAGAACTTATAAGACTGTTGCTTACTGGCTTGCCCCCCATGGCTTGCATATCCTGATTTGTTATAGAACCCAAAACCACCAGGCCAGGATGGCACCACCCACAATGGGTTCAGCCCTCCCCTACCAAACACTAATTAAGAAAATGTCCTGTAGGCCAGCCTACAGCCCAATCTTATGGAGGCATTTTCTCAACTGAGACTCCCTCCTCTCTGATGACTCTGGCTTGTATGAAGTTGACATAAAACTAGCCTGTGCAATCCCTAAAATAAAGAAGAAAGAAAGAGGACATTGAGTGGGTTAAAAAGTAAAAGGCACTTGAAATGAATGACAGAAATAAAATTAAAACTCATTGCTTTGGTCTCATTTGTACAACATGTTCGAGCATGAACGTATTTATAAAATCCTATCATAGCTACGGGCTCTTTTTGGGATACCTTTAGAAGAAGAGCATGAAATGTGAAGCTCTCTGTGTCATGAACTGAGCAGTCTGAACTGACAAAGTAATGAGTGTTCGACTTGAAATTACAAAGCACTAGTTATCCATCTGGCCACATCCTCTGCTTCCAGCACTGAAAGGGAGTTCTTGGCTTCCTTTTTAAATACCCCTGGGAATGCCTTTCCCCACTGGTGTGATGGCATAGAAATGTGAGATTCTCCACTTCAGATTCTCGATGGGTGAGACACTGAGTAAGAAAGAAAATGTGAAATTTGGAAACGTAAACAAAGCCCCCAGGAATATAAATTAGTGTTTAACTGAACTTCGATAGCTCTGTTGTCCACAGTATTCAAAGACCTCTTAGTAGAAAATGAAAATGTCCAATTTGGCAGACAGCTACCTTCAACTAATCTTTTTTTTTAACTTAAGAACTAAAAGTACCTTTTCTTAAATTTAAATCACAGTTTTGGTTGCAGCAGTAGAAAATCCAGGGTTCCTTGAATAAAAGCAGGGCTGGAGAACCTGATTTGGAAACCAAGAAGTGAACAATGGTTTCCATTAGAAAGCAGGAATTTCATTTCAAATCATAAAGCAGTACCACAATAAATATAATCACAAATAACAGATCCTATACAATATGGGAGAAAACAAGAAGAAAAGTCAGTTAAAATGGTTATGTCTTTATAAAGTTTATGATTGGATGAGATGGGAGCTATAGTGCTCAGCTTTGTAATAAACATAAAGTTGTTGCTGTTTATTTTTTCTTTCCTTCTCCTTTTTGCATTATATGGTTCCTTTAGTGCATTGAGCACAGGCTTTGTGGAGTTGTCCAAAACTAATTAACTGATGTCCCTTACTGAAGCCAAAGCCTGCTTCTCATTTCTATAGTATAGTCAGCTCTCTTTGTCCTGACAGCCCTGGCTCACAATGAATTAGAAAAGGCTACATGGTATTGTGGCACCCAACATGCTACAGTGATTTCTGTAGCCAAGCCAGAGCAGCTCCTCTCTTGGAGCTAAAGAACATGATCGAGAAAAAAAAATAATAATCATACATATTATCAGAATAATTCCCTTTAGTAGCTACAGCTGTGTCATTTGGACATTTTGGTCCCAACAAATAACAATAATCATCTGTATTGAAAAAAAATCTCTTTGGGTCAAACCACTTATGTCATCATGGGGAAAATGCCTAGTGTTTGTGATGAGTTAGTAGAAAAATCGTACCTCTGCCACTCCTGGATTTTCTCATCAGCACTGAAATCAGGTTACTCACTTCAATTATGTGGTCAAATTTCAGAATCCCCATTCCCCATAAAACAGCTCTTTCTGGAGATAGTACTTCCTTTACCAGCATATGTCTGAAGATCTTGGTGAAGAGTACGTTTTGATACTACCTTGAGCATGTACCTAGGATGTAACCAAGCAAGACACTCCCATTGGATCACTTTCTACTCCCTGTTGCTTGAAATTTAAATACACTCCTGTAGTCTAACCTTACAAGTGGTTTTATCTGGCTGGATCATGTGAGCCAGTGTTGACACCAGATTTGATTGACCAGTCAAACATATTTTTGGAACCTCGTAGCCACTCTGAATGTAAAATAGCTGGTAAACGATAAAATTTTAAAAGTCAGCCCAATGCATGGTTATGCTTCTCCCTACTGGAAAAGCACAAAAGCATCTCCAGTCAAACACCAGCACTGCACTTTTCTAACAACTCAGTCAAGTCTGCACGTTGTTACAACTGGAAGCTTTCTCAACTATGCTGTGACCTCATGATCTATCCCCAGTACAGGCTGGGATTCGACTCTAGGTTTTCTCCTAAGCAAAGGAAGTATAAGACAAGTAGAAAACAAATTTCTTCTTTTAATATGATTTCAAGTGTAATATCAGTAGTCTTCAAGGAAAAAAGAATTGTCTAGTCAGGTCATCGAGAGGTAGACTGCCACCTTTGGGAAACAGAGAGAAAAGTGTCTAGTCAGGTCAACGCGGGGTAGACTGTCACCTCTGGTAAACAAGAAAGAAGAAAACCGTCTAGTCAGGTCATCAAGAGGTAGACTATTGTTGCCGAGCGGTGGTGGTGCACGTCTTTAATCCCAGCACTCGGGAGGCAGAGGCAGGCGGATCTTTGTGAGTTCGAGGCCAGGCTGGACCGATAGCCTCCAAAACAATACAGAGAAACCCTGTCTCGTAAAACCAAAAAAAAAAAAAAAAAAAAAAAAAAAAAAAAGAGGTAGACTATTGCCTTTGGGAAACAGAAAGGAAAGAACTGTCTAGTAAGGTCAACCAGAGGTAGACTGTTGCCTTTGGGCAGCAGAGACTTCACATGGTCTGTGGGAGTTGCTCAGATGCCTGAGTTTTCTCAAAGTTCTGTCCTACGACCCTAGAGCACACTCTCTTCTGATCAATGCCTGCATTTCCATGGAGGTGACACAGATAGGGACGGTGTTATTCAGTTGTACTATGGTACAAACTCAGTTTCAGTTTTAGCTACTGTAGCCGTATGCTGAGAGAAATTAATTCTTTCATCAAGGCTACAGGCTATCCCTGAATTTCAGTCCATGGCTTAAACTGAGAAGTTAGAGATGTCAGGCTTATCATCCCCTTTTTAAGCCATTCAATATTATCAGAAGTGTGCAGTTATCAATTTTAATATCTTTCATAGTGTTTATATGGTGGTGACAACACAGTCAACCACAGCCGTCTTCTCCTCAATGGACCCTTGATTACAGATGTCCCTGGGTATTTAATTTGATATCTGATCACTGAAAGCTCTATACAATTTCATTTCTACCCAAGAAAAAAAGACACTCATTTCTGTTTTGCCTCAAATTGAAAAACAGTCTCCAATTCCTCGTGTTTCCTTGAAATATTACCAAAAGTCTTACTTATTTGTAGAAATCTATGAAAACTACAGCAAAGAAAGGGTGTACTTACAAACACTAGCTCTGCTGTTCATCAGCACATTACTGGAGTGTCCATCTCCTTGGGTATAGGAAGTCACTCTAGAAGAAAAAGGTTATAGGCAGCAAACAAAACTAAGATTTTTATTACAGCATCTAAGAGCAGTAATAGAACCTATTAGTTTGGATTGAATAACAAGCTACATTAAAATATCTGGGCAAAGCTAATTTGGTTAATAGCTGCAGTAGCGAGATCAGACAAGCCCACACAGCAGGTCAGCCTGTTGAAAAATTAATGCTTTTGCTTTTAGCTGTAAGATCACCTTTCTCCATTCCTCCATTTTAGACTGTGTACAGTATTTATATCCTTGACAATGGGGAAATGAAAGGTTGTCAGGAAAGTGGATGTTATTGTCCTGGTCAGTCTTAATTGTGATCTTGGTGCAGCCTAGAGTCATCTGAGAGAAGAAATCCCAATTGACAAATTACTAGATCCCATTGCTCTTTGAGCTTATTGGGTGGGTTGCTAATTGATATAGGAGGGTCCAGTTCACTATAGGCAGTGCCATTCTTAGGCAGGTGGTCCTGGGCTCAATAGACGGGCATCTAGGTTGCTTCCAGGTTCTGGATATTACAAATAATGCTGCTATGAACATAGCGGAACAGATGTCTTTGTCATATGAATGTGTATCTTTTGGGTATATGCCTAAGAGTGGAATTGCTGGATCTTGTGGTAGACTGATTCCCATTTTCCTGAAGAATTTCCATACTGATTTCCAAAGTAGCTGTATGAGTTTGCACTCCCAACAGCAATGAAGGAGTGTTCCCCTTTCACCACATCCTCTCCAGCATAAACTGGTGTTTTTAATTTTAGCCATTCTGACAGGAGTAAGATGGTATCTCAGAGTAGTTTTGATTTGCATTTCCCTGATGGCTAAGGATGTTGAGCACTTTCTTAATTGTCTATCACTCATTTTAGATTCCTCTATAGAGAATTCTCTATTTAGTTCTGTTCCCCAGTTTTTAATTGGATCCTTTGGTGTTTTGGAGATATGCTTCTTGAGTTCCTTGTAAATTTCGGGGATCTGTCAGATGTGGGGTTAGTGAGTATCTTTTCCCATTCTGTGGGCTGCCTTTTTGTCTTGTTGACCGTGTCCATTGCCTTACAGAAACTCCTCAGTTTCAGGAGGTCCCATTTATTAATTGTCTATCTTGGGCTGGAGGGATAGCTCAGCCGTTAAAGGCTAGGCTCACAACCAAAAATATTAATTGTCTATCTCAGTGTCTGTGCTACTGGTGTTATGTTCAGGAAGCAGTCTCCAGTACCAATTCATTCAGGGGTACCTCCCAATTTCTCTTCTAACAGGGTCATTGTGGCTGGATTTATGTTGAGGTCTTTGATCCATTTGAACTTAAGTTTTGTGCATGGTGATAAACATGGATCTATCTGCAGTCTTCCACATCCCAGCATCCAGTTATGCCAGCACCATTTGTTGAAGATGCTTTCTTTTTTTCCTTGTATAATTTAAGCTTCTTTGTCAAAAATCAGGTGTTCATAGATGTGTGGGCTACTATCAGGGTTTTCAGTTCAATTCCATCAGTCTATTTTTGTGCCAATACCAAGCTGTTTTCAGGACTATAGCTCTATAATAGAGGTTGAAGTCAGGGATAGTGATGCCTCTGGAAGTTCCTTAATGTACAGGGTTGTTTTGGCTATCCTGGGTCTTTTGTTTTTCCATATAAAGTTGAGAATTGTTCTTTCAAGGTTTGCGAAGAATTGTGCCGGTATTTTGATGGGGATTGCATTGAATCTGTAGATTGCTTTTGGCAAGATTGCCATTTTTACTATGTCAATCCTACCTATCCAAGAGCATGGGAGATCTTTCCATTTTCTTGTATCTTCTTTAATTTCTTTCTCCAAAGACTCAAAGTTCTTGCTATACAGGTCTTTCACTTGTTTGGTTAGCGTTACCCTCAAGATATTTTATGCTGTTTGTGGCTATTGTAAAGGGTGATGTTTCTCTGATTTCTTTTCAGTCCATTTATCGTCTGTATATAGTAGGGCTACTGATTTTTTTTAGTTAATCTTATATCCTGCCACTTTGCTGAAGGTGTTTCTCAACTAGCTGTAGGAGTTCCCGTGTAGAGTTTTTCGGGTCAATTATGTAAACTATCATATCATCAGCAAAGACTGAAAGTTCTTCCTTTCCAATTTGTATCCCCTTAATCTCCTTTTGTTGTCTTATTGCTCTAGCAAGAACTCCAAGTACAATATTGAAAGTGGACAGCCTTGTCTTGTTCCTGATTTTAGAGGAATCCCGTTGAGTCTCTCACCAATTAGTTTGATGTTGGCTGACGGTTTACTGTATATTGCTTTTATTAGATTCAAGTATATTCCTGTTATACCTGATCTCTCCAGGACCCTTATCATGAAGGGATGTTGGATTTTGTCAAAGGCTTTTTCAGCATATAGTGAGATGATCATGTGTTTTTTCCTTTGCAGTTTGTCTTAGTGGTAGATTACATTGATAGATTTTTCGTATGTTGAACCATCCCTGCATCCCTGATCTACTTGATCATGGTGGATGATTTTCTGATGTGTTCCTGGATTCGATTTGCCAGTATTTTATTGAGTACTTTTGCATCAATGTTCATAGGGGAAATTGGTGTGTAGTTCTCTTTCTTAGTTGTGTCTTTGTGTGGCTTGGGTACCAAGGTAATTATAGCCTCGTAGAAAGAGTTTGACAATGAACCTTCTGCTTCTATTGTGTGGAACACTTTGAGGAGTATAGGTATTAGCTTTTCTTTGAATTTCTGGTAGAATTCTGCACTGAAGACATTTGGGCCTGGGCTTTTTTTCTTTTGGTTGGGAGACTTTTCATGACTGCTTACATTTCATTAGGGGTTATAGGTCTGCTTAAATTGCTTATCTGTTCTTGATTTAAGTTTGGTAAGTAATATCTATTCAGAAATTTGTCCATTTCCTTTAAATTTTCGAATTTTGTCAAGTACAGGTTTTCAAAGTATGACCTGAAGATTCTCTGGATTTCCTCAGTGTCTGTTATGTCCCTCTTTTCATTCCTGATTTTGCTAATTTGCATGTTCTCTCACTGCCTTTTGGTTAGTTTGGATAAAGGTTTGTCTATCTTGTTTCATTGATTCTTTGCATTGTTTTCTTTGTTTGTTTCAACTTTATTGATTTCAGCCCTCAGTTTGATTATTTCGTGGAGTTTACTGCTCTGGGATGAGTTTGCTTCTTTTTCTTTTAGAGCTTTCAGTGGTGCTGTTAATTCTCTAGTGTGACTATTCTCCAGTTTCTGCATGTGAGCACTTAGTGCTATGAACTTTCCTCTTAGTACTGCTTTCAAAGTGTCCCGTAAGTTTGGGTATGTTGTGTTTTCATTTTAATTGAATTCTAGGAAGTATTTAATTTCTTTATTTCTTCCTTGACCCAGTAATGGTGCAATTGCATGATGTTCAATTTCCATGAGTTAGTAGGGTTTCTGCAGTTTGTGTTGTTGTTGAATTCTAACTTTAAACCATGGTGACCCGATAGGATACAGGTCGATATTCCAATTTTTTTTTGTATCTGTTGAGGTTTGCTATGTTGCCTAGTATGTGGTCGATTTTAGAGAAGGTTCCATGTGACTCTGAGAAGAAGGTATGTTCTTTTGTGTTCTATAGATGTCTATCAATCCCAATTGGGTCATAACTTCTGTTAGTTCCTTTGTTTCTTTGTTAAGTTTCTGTCTGATGGTCCTGTCTAATGGTGAGAGTAGAGTGTTGAAGTTTCCCACTATAACTGTGTGAAGTCTTACATGTGATTTGAGTTTTAGTAATGTTTCTTTTATGAATGTGGGTGCCTTTGTATTTGGTGCATAGATGTTCAGAACTGAGACTTCTTCCTGATGGATTTTTCCTGTGATGAATATGAAATGACCTTCTTTATCTCTTTTGATTGATTTTAGTTTAAAGTCTAATTTGTTAAACACTAGGATAGCTACACCAGCTTGCTTCTTGTGTCAATTTGATTGGAAAAATTTATCCCAACCCTTTACTCTGAAGTAATATCCGTCTTTGGAGTTGAAGTGTGTTCCTTGTATGTAGCAGAAGGATGGATTCTGTCTTCGTATCCATTCTGTTAGCCTGTGGTTTTTTATAGGCAAATTAAGAACATTAATATTGAGGGAAATTAATTCTTGTTAGTTTTTGATTTGGTGGTGGTGGTGGTATTGTTTGTGGATTTACCCCGCTTTTTCTTTTGGCTTTTAGTAAAGCGGGATTATCTATTGCCTATGTTTTTTTGAGTATAGTTAACTTCCTTAGGTTGGAGTTACACTTCTAGTACTTTCTGTAAGGCTGGATTAGTGGATATGTATTATTTAAATCTGGTTTTGTCATGGAATATCTTGTTTTCTTCATCTATAGTGACTGAAAGCTTTGCTGAGTATATTAGTCTGAGCCGGAATCCGTGGTCTCTTAATGTTTGTAGAATATCTATCCAGGACCTTCTGGCTTTCAGAGTTTCCATGGAGAAGTTAGGTGTGATTAGGATAGGTTTGCCTTTATATGTTGCTTGGTCTTTTTCCTTTGCCTTTCTTTATTCTGTATGTTTGGTTTTTTAATTATTTTAATTATTATGTGCTGAGTGGACTTTTTTTTGTGGCCCACTCTATTGGTGTTCTGCAGGCTTCTTGTACTCTCATTGGCATGTCTTTCTTTATTTTGGGAAAGTTTTCTTCTATGATTTTGTTGAATATGTTTTCTGCCCCTTTGAGGTGGGTTTCTTCATCTTCTTCTATACCTATTATTCTTAGGTTTGGCCTTTATATGGTGTCCCATATTTCCTGGATATTTTATGTTAGGGATTTTTTGGACTTAAGATTTTCTTTGGTCGATGAATCTATTTCTCCTAGTGTATCTTCAATGCCTGAGATTGTCTCTTCCATCTTTTGTATTCTGTTGGTTACACTTGCACATGTTTACCCATCTTTTTTAATTCCAGCATTCCTTCAGATTGTGTTTTTTTAATTGTATCTATTTCAGCTTTCAAAGCACTGTTTGAATTGTTTCTTGCAATTTTTGGTTTGTCTTTTCTTCCA